CTCTCTCTCTCTCTCTCTCTCTCTCTTTCTCTCTCAGAGAGAAAATAATTATCAAATTATTATCAAAATTTCAATGACAGTTTAGAAGTGATATTTATGTCGAAAAACAGTGGACTTATTGATAAGTGTTGAGTGTATTAATGGTGTTGCGATTGGAAAGCATTTTATCACTTCATTAACAAATTATTGGACTTTTAAAACAATATGTCATTACATTTAAACGTCAGATTAAATTGCATTCAAATACACGTTGAAAATTCATTAAAACTTTAGGGTAGACCTAAAACAGGCGTTTCCCGCGCGCGGATTACACGTCCTTCTTGTAGTTATCTACTGATAGATCTCCCGGTCCTAAGTGTACGACCATTAAGAGGCCGCCGATGATCGAGATGTGATGTATAAAGCTTAGCCTCAGGTATAATACAATTTGTTGTTTGAGTCTATCGTCCAAAAATGATTTAAATACAAATTGATGCCTATATGGAGTGGAAAGGGAGTTCACACACAAAACGAAACAACAATCATTAGTCAAACACACAAATGGTTCAAACGAGGGGTTCGTATGCGAGACTAACCCGTGAACCACGCGACCAGCAAAAGGGCCGACAGTTTGGTCTTATAGCCGATAGTGACGGCCGCCATGAGTACGACGACTATCACCCGTCGCATGATTTGAAACACGTTTTCCAGGTGTAGGCCAAGGCTTGTGACGAATATGAGAAGCGTTAGTACCCTTCCGGCGAACAGTAGATAGGCTTTGGGTCGGTTCTGTCCATCACTGGGCACACCGGCCAACAGAGTGGGCGCCTCCGTCTGGCACTCGGCCAACAGCAGCAATAGAGCCCCGCATAGACTCAGAGCCCACGGCCATAAGAGGGGGTCCCATACGGCACCGATCGTCAGTGCCTGCAACCAATCACATAATATGTTACTATACACCAGTAAGTTCCAAAAGTAGGTAGCTTTCACATTTAGTAACGCTATAAGTATTACTATTTGTAATGGGAACTGGCAAATTGACCTAAAAACCAATTGACCTAAACTTAAATAACTTAAT